CCTGGGCAGGGCGAAGCCAGAGGAAACTCTGGTGGAGGCCCGTAGTGGTAGGCCTTTACCTCAAAATGGAAAATAATTTCACAGAAATCTGACTGAGCCTCAGTAGATTCAACTTTAAGCTGTGAGAAATGAGTTCATCAAAGCAAATTGCTGTGTTTGACTCATTTTACTAGTTTTGTGTAAAACTGTTTATGCTCCTCTAGTGTTCCTTTACGGAGACCATTTAGAATAAGAATAGAAATTTGCAGTGGGTGATGATTTCCCTGTATTATTCCCGCTTAGGATCAAAGACACCTCTGCAGTCCTTCCTGGGAATTGCAGAACAGCACACGGCTCACAATGGGGTAAGAAACTCCACAGTGCACCACCCACCTAACTCGCAGCCTCCTTTGATGAATGGCGTCACTTAGAACTCTTTGTATTTCAGAGTAATGTTTCCCAGTGTGCCAGTCCTCACAACCCCACAGCCATCACTGCTGAGGAATACTTCAACCCCGAGTTCAACCTGAACGGACGGGACATTGGGCGTCCCATTGAGCTTACCAGCAAAGTCCAGAGGTATGGTATCTATGAGCCAGCATAGGTGTAGCATAGATGTTACAAAAATGGCAGTGCTGAGAAGCAAAGCAGATTTTGGAGCAGTATGTATCCTACCTCCTCTCCAGGTTTAAAGCAACCCTGTGGTTGAGTGAGACCCACCCTTTGTCCCTGGCAGAGCAGGTGACACCCATCATTGACCTCATGGCCATCTCTAACGCCCACTTTGCCAAGCTGCGTGACTTTATCACCTTGCGCCTGCCGCCAGGCTTTCCTGTTAAGATAGGTGGGTGCTCATTTCCTTTTGTGGAGCTAGGTGGATGTCCTGAGGTTTTTCGTTCTGTGTTCAAGCCCACATTGTTCAGAACACTGATTATAGACCAGCTCCATCCCTGTTGATTTGTAGCTTGTTATGCTGACATGTTATAACAAATATAAGAAACTTTGTTTTGAAGTTATGTAGTCAACCACCTTGGCATTCATGAGTCTTACTATACGTTTAAGGATAATCAGCCATGTGAATATTTAAAAGAAAAGATGAAAAACACATTGTTCAGCTATTATATAGTTTTGACCATACACACGACACATTTGTTGCCTTGCCTCCTGTCTGAATTCATCTCGCTGTCCACCTTCCAGAGATTCCCCTATTTCACGTGTTGAATGCCAGAGTGACGTTCAGTAACCTGTGTGGCTGTGATGAGCCGGTCAGCTCTGTGACGGTTCACAAACCAGAGTGCGCCGAAGCAGCTGGTAAGTATAGACTCACATACACATAGTTAAGACTGACCTATTGGATATTGTGCAGTGAGTCTCCAGCTGCCTAAAGTGACATGTAACAACTCAAATCTACTACAGTAAAACAAGGACAAGTATATCAGAGATCCTGTGTCATCATTTAGTGAGGAGACTATCTGCATCTCTTTTTAAATAAACAGCATGGCCGCTAGTATAGTTGTTCCCAAATGACATACACTTAACTTCCAACTCCACTAACTCTGTAACCATCTACTCCCAGGTCCGTCTCCACCTATTCAATGTGAGGTGGACCCCTCAGTGTTTGAGCCCCCTGCAGACTACACCACCCTTGGTCCGGGCCGCAGTGAGCCAATGAGGGATGAGGATGACAACCTGCTCCAGTTCGCCATCCAGCAGAGCCTGCTGGATGCCGGCACAGAAAGTGACCAGGTCAGAGCAAAGCATGATGGTTACCAGTCTGAATCAACAAAGACATAGTCTGAGTTATGTGTCAGCCCTAGGAATTAATTCTTCCATGTTTATATCTGTTGCTTTCAGGCACAGATGCATTGACATGTCATGTTAGGAGAAACTGTACCGGTCTCTGAGTGGCCCTGATGGGAAATGCTATTGTATTTTTTGTGGTGCCAGTTAAATGTTTATGTCTGGTGTTTAGGTGACTATCTGGGAGGCCTTGACCAACAGCCGCCCCATGCCCCCATCTCCACTGTACGAGGAAGACACTCAGCTAGAGAGGTGAGCTGGCAGTCGCACTTTACCTGAGTTGTTTAAGTGCATTCACTCTGCTCAGATTGGAGATAATGTCTTTATTTATTTATTTTTTGACTTTGAGCAAAATGTCCATTAACTAAGTCAAGCACAGAAACCAGAGATGCACTGATGAATAAGCTACATTATTTCAAATATCTAATACCCAGTTATATCAGTTGATGGATACTTCCTATGTCATGTCTTTTGGATTCTTTTTCTAAATTTAGCATATTATGAACAGAGAATAACAAAAGTAAGGATTTAGCAGAGCTTCAGGCTGTGATTCATGCAGCTTAGTAGAATGCATTCTTACACAAATGTCAGTTCTGTGGAGTTTTGTAAACTCATCTAGATGAGTCATTGTTCATAGTTCATTCTGAAGATTAGCCTTTGTAGTTGTTACTGTAAAACAATCATGGTTCATTGATAATTCTTTGGGAAACGTCTGGCCTGTGAAGGAATTTAATTAAACATCTCTAGATAGAGTTCAGTCATTATCTTTGTCTCTCCTCCTTCTCCTGGGAACAAAAAGTCCCAGTCATCCTGCAATGAAACCTTCCTGTTAATACTTCAGTTCAAGTCTTACTATCCTCCTGTCTTTTCTCAGGGCGATCCAGGAGTCCCTGTCCATCTCACTGGCCAGCAGAGAGGGAGAAGACACGGCCGACCCCAGCCAGCCCTCCTCCAGCTCTCCAGTGGACCTTACAGCTAATTCTCCACTATCCTACAGCACAGCGACCAATCCGCGGTTCTCGGGGAACTTTGGCGTAGCTAGCAGCTTTGACGAGCAGCTGCGTATTGCCATGGAGCTGTCATGTAGGGAGCAAGAGGAGATGGACAGGTAAGGTGGAAACAACACTAACAGGAAGGTTAAGAGCAGTCTCACATGCATGTTGGAAGGAACTCAACCTTGTGGTCACTTCTCATCAACCAGTGCTTGTTTGGGGGGTCCACCTGTGGTTTGACTCAGCCATTTCAGACATATAGAGGTTTGTGTGTGTGCGCCCCCTCCCCTCTCCAAAATCACTCAAGGCAAAAATAAGTCACTTGGCGATTAATAGTTGCAGTTACTGGTTAAACCCCGTGCTTGGTTTGATGCAAGCCTTCTCCATGCTAAACATGGCAGAATCATTGTCACGCGAGATTGTGCAGGGATTTAAATTACGCTCACAAACCGATTGATCGTGCAGCCCTACAAGGAAGTAGGGACAAAATGTTTTCAGTACACCATGGCTATTTTTCCTTTATCAGGGTGGTAGCTGTCAGTTTGGGTTTCCTTAATTACATTATACAAAAAAAACTTAAGCATTCACTTAACATTAGAACTCAATTTAATCTCATTTTTAACATCACTGGACTGGACTGTGGTCTGACATTTGAACTTTATTTTGCATTAGGAAGCGCAAGGAGGAAGAGGAGGAGCTGGAGAGGATCCTGCAGCTGTCACTCACTGAGAAGTAACAGCAACACAGATGGTTATTCACTGGGGAACAGGCATCTTTGTTTTATTTTTTAAATCCTGAAATGTTTGTTATTACAGATATTGTCTCTCACACAAAGGCTGCTACACAAGAGTCTAAGTGACCAGAATGTAAGAATCAGGTGCGATGGAGAAATGATAAAACAGGTACTTTGAATCTCATTGCAGTGAAGGGAGTTTTTTTTATTGAATATTTTTCACAGTTTTGCTGTCTTTGAGTGATGAATGATACTTAAACCTAAACATGATCCAAGATGATACAAACTTAACAGATTAACTTATAAAAATTATTATATTATAAACATTTGTTAACTTATTCCTGTGTGAAAAATAAAAAGTAATGAGTCATCCTGAATTATGGGTGTTTTTTCAAATAGCCTGATAAGTTCTCATGCCGTGCGACAAAAAAAAAACGTATTGAGTTGAAACCAAAACTGCAATGGTCAGTTCAAAAGAGAATCAGCAATTTCTCATTTTGAATCATTTTTCCTTGTAAAAGATGAATTTTCTCTGGACTAATGGTTCAAGGCAAGCAGTTTGAAGGCTTCACTTTGGACTCCAGGAAATTGTTATGGGCCGCTTTTCATTACTAGAGTCCATAGACCAAAATATGTAAAAAAAAAAAAAAATCTAAGTAATTGCTAGTTCCAGCCGTAGTTGAAATCATACTAGTTGAAATCATACTGTGAGCCATTTAAGCCAGGCTCAGTTTTCACTACCTATTAATTCTTTTTTCTTTTAGGCAGACCTAACAGGACTTATGGCTTAGTCCTGTGATTTATACATCTTTTATCAAGAAAAGTCTAAATATTCCATGTTATACTGTGAAAATCTTGTATCTCTGAATTGTACAAAGTACCATTATGCTCACTTCCTGTTAACAGATGTACTGTAATGGTTTTGATTTCTGATTAGCTAATGTCAGCATTCTAACACACTGAACTACCATCATAACTCATGTTATTTCACATTTAACGGTGCAGCTTGTCAACATAAACAATTTAGAGATGTGGACGGCTGATTATTTTGAGCTAAATGCTCATCAGCTAAGAGAGCTGCTGTTAAGGGATAAACTGTTTCATTACTTCACTAACTATACAGAGCTATGTTCCAGCAGGTATAAGGGAGGGGAGTCAAAAGATGTGGGGTGATATCTGTAATCTCCTCAGGGGTTCTTAAAAGCAACAACTGTACACGCACTCTTTGAGGGCCGCTGTGCAGAATTGAGCTTTTCAGTAGTTTGTGACTTCATCAGTTGGAGCGCAGTATTCCCTCCGTAATTTTAAAGCCCGCCGAAGCTCTTCATCCAACGGAACTAGTGCAGAGGAGAAAAAAAAGCCAAAAATGTTACTCAGTTAAAAGAAAAAAAGTCTGCTCTGTGTACACCTCGATTTAGACCTAAAGCAGCTCTATGGGGTCTAGCATTTAAGTGCCATCTATAATTAATGCAAACACTGACACTTGATTTATGACACTATCTTGACAAGTCCTTCTCACCTAGCTTTAGTGTGTGATCATCAGGATCCACATATTCCCCTTCTTCTGGTTTGGCTAGAGGAGGCAGAAACACCTCTTTGGGCTGTGACCGCAGCATAGGTGCAACTTGCGCCTTGGGTAGCGGTGTAGGTGAGATGCATTTAACACACCTGGGAGAAGGCGACGCCTCTGTTGAACACATTTATAAAAAATAATTAAAAGTGGTGCACCTGTACCTGCTAGGAAAACAGATTTATAAAGGCAGTGTTTT